ATATATATATATATATAAAAGCCACAATAATATACCTATACAGGAAAATCATCGGTTTTCGAATCCTCAAATATGATGTAAACGGGGACCATAATTGAAGGTTCATAGACAGCCAGATTTCAGATATCTACGATGCTTTACATGTGCAGCAAGGAACAACTGAAAAGCGGGGTAAGGGCGGGCTAAGTAAAAGTCAGAAGTCATGATTTAGAAGCCATGCAAATGGCATCTGAAACCGGAGTTGGAGATGATTGTGTTTCACTAAATCCTCTCGAAGCTACACTCGTTGGCGTCACTAGAGGAAACGAGAGCAAAGAATGGTGTGAATAGGTAAATGGGGTTAAGAGAAACAGATGCAGCACTAGGACAAAAAATAGGGGCATGGAGTGATGCCACAACGGCTGAACAGAAAATGAGTCAAAAGGATTGCATTCACCTGTTTCTTTGATAAGTTATAACTCCGTGTAAAGGATGGCGTATAAGACTTAAGATGCCGACGAAAGGTCTGAGAATGCACAGATCAACGGTCCGATGCTCGAAATCATCATAAATATTATGGAAGAGGACGTGGGACTAGATACGCTCTAAAAGTTCTTACTTTTACTCCGAGTAAGTTGCGAAAACGAGATCAAACCAACAATTTACAGCAAAAGGAGACTGCGACCAAACGAAAGGCCATACCATCTCGATCGTCATAACTACGAGTAAAAATTTTGCTCGAGTTTCTGCATTAGGACAAAGAATTTTTCAGCAATCCCAGCTTATAGTACTCAGCTAAAGTTAAGATAAAATACCGCACCCCAAATAGAATGTATTATTCACTTTGGGCCTACTACATCAATCGAGAAGCAGAAGCTCTTGTCTCATTTGTATCGAAGAAGAATATTCAAACCAAGCGGAAAAGTGTTGAATAAATATGATCGACTTTCAAAGTAGAAGCGATCTAGGTATCTTGCTGGGATTGGGTTTTTGCGAGTCTATGCCCATTAATATGTTTTAGAGAAGTTTGTTGGCAGGCTCGCAGGAGCAAACGAATGATGGGACTCGAGCAGCCGAGAAAATATCCTTAATAGTGAATGGACACCGAGATCAGATACAGAACGGAGATGCGGCGCCGTTTTGAAGTTGGCCTGACCAAAGTTCGTTTTGCTGCCGCAAAGATAATTGAGCCCCGTAAATGGGAATTTAACAAGCAAATCCAAATATGATGCTTTGGTTCCAAGGCAGGATAAGCACGGCCCTTCCTTTCTTGAATGTGCAACAGACTGCCAGGCGCGAAGCAAAATGCAACGACCGTGAATCAGACGAAAATATATATCCGGGAAAGCTTGTTAGTTAGGGCTTACGAGGCTATGACGGAAGCTTTCTGGTTCTCGGAGAGCCAAATATATGGGACTTTTCGCAAAAGATTCGTTGAAAAAAGATGCTGCTACAGAAGCATCCACAGAAATAAAGCCCAATAGACGGCGCGCCAGCAGACGGTATAAACAAAACGGTCAGCGCTGAAATAAGGCAAATATGTGGACTTACCCGGTCCCTCAATTTGAGTGACTATCTCAGTATTAGGTGGGGATGCGTGTTCTTCTAGTGGCTGACCAATTGATGCATTCGTCCATCCGCGGCCAACAAAAGTAATTGAGAAGCGCTCAGTAAGCAATTGATTGCGATCGGGACCTTCTTCAGTAAAAAGACCAAGCGAGAACGACTTAGGGTGCTGAAATAAATAGTTACACTAAGACTTTCAATATTTTCGAACAAATATTTAAAAATTACTTCCGGAGCTCACCTTGAGCAAAATTCTGCGAGTGAAGCTGAAGCAGCACATAATTCCGAAAAAAATTCCAAAAGCTAAGATGCATAAGGCAGACAAAAGTGATCGAAAGCAGAGGTAAGGAGCAAACTGAATCTATAAAATTAAAAAATAGTATATATAATAATAGGAAAGTCCTAACGAGATTCATCTATGCAATAAGAAGTTATCATTACCATTTTTTTCTGCGCACCAGACTCGACTAAAAAGCGCTGGGATCTGTATACAACAGATCTATCTGAGGAGGGGAAAGGTAGGCACCAACCACGAACTTGGTCACAATAGAAAAGTGGGCCTCTAAAAAAGATAAGGTAAGTACAGTTCTTCAAATTAGTTATACATAAAGCACTTTACCACTAGAAATACGAATTAATTTATGCTTGTAAAGCTTCGAAGATTTAACAGATTTACAAAAATGACTTAAATATATTCGATCAGACAACTCGAAAAAACATTGGCAGAAAGGCCTAGAGTAACGCACCTTGTGCGTTGTTCATAGTATACATGATAATTTTCAGATTCGGACTTGCTACATTACCAGAAGGTTCGCTGGCATCATAGTCGGCATCGTCAGTGAGCACAATAATACAACTCGTCAAAGGGACAAGTAAAATCGATCCTTGGATCAAATGTGTGCCAAACACTGTGGTATCTCTTCTGTCCTGGTATATTCACTTATCCTATATCCTCATATCGCCCCTTCAATATCACAATTTTTCACTAGTTTATCTAGACCTATTTGAAATCTATTCACACTCGCGCTTGTTTCCTCATCCCCCCACTGTGCGTGGAGTGCTGGTCCAAGGCTGTGGTTTAATCTGCAATCCTCCCTCTTCGGTTTCTATATGAGTCCCCTGCTGCGTAGGATCCTTCATTTATTTGTCTGTATCATCAATATCACTCAATCGCTGCCACCTTATCTGTGCTACTCAAGGCGTTGTTTTACACTTTGTCTCAATCCTTTGATAGCACGTATACACCAGCCTTACCGCGCAAACCCCTAAAGTCTGGCTTCGCAAGTGGCATAGCAGCCTAACTTGACGCTGCAGATACGCTTATCACATGTGCAACGAGTAAATCTCGTGATCAAGCCTTTACTTCATAGGTCACGTCTATGAACAAATTTATTTACTAATAGCCAGCTAGAAATGGCCACTACCGTTTCTCTCGCTCTTCTATGACATTATAATGCGTGCCAACCCCCAAATATGATGATTATACTTGATTTAATTAGGCTCACGGTAGACATCATTTTTTGGTTTCCGATTGTTCCTCTCTGGTGCATAAGTGCCATCAAAGGCTTGAAGCAGAGTGTAGAACAACGCCTTGAGTAGCACTGATAGCGTGGCAGCGATGGAGTGATATTATTGATACAGGCAGATAAGGGAAGGATCCTACGCAGCAAAAGGGGACTCAGATAGGAACCGAAGAGAGAGGATTGAGAATTAAACCGCAGCCTTGGACCAACACTTCCGGCACAGTGGAGAGATGAGGAAACCAGCGGCAAGTTTCAATAGATTTCAAATAGGTGTAGATAAACAAATGAGAAATTGTGATATTGAAGGGGCGATATGAGGGTATATGATAAGTGAATAGACCAGGACAGGAGAGATACCACAATTGTTTGGCACACATTTGGTCAAAGGATCGACTTCACTTGTCTCTTTGACGAGTGATAGTGTAGTTCTAAGAATGGCAAGGCTCAGTGACGATGACGACTATGATGCCAGCGAAACGTCTGGGAATGTAGCAAATTCACGGTCCGACTGGAAATTATCATGAATACTGTGAACTACGGACAAGGTGCGTCTGTCTAGGTCTTTCTGCCAATATGACCACTGCGAAAACAAAGTGGAAACAACTTATATACAAGGAAAGGAGACCGCGAGTATACAAAAGATCACATCATCTTTGTCTTCATACCTTCGAAAAAACATTATTAAAAGATAGTAATTCGTGTTTTGATGCTGTTTAGATCAAATTCTACAAAAAAACGATTCCTTAAAGAATAAACTAAATGATTTCAGCGGGAAGAGTAAAACCAATGTTTGTCGAAATCATGAGAAAAATAATTTTAACAATTAATAGCGGCCACCGAAGATGAGATTAAGGAGGTTAAAATGTTTGAAATTAATAGAGAATCAAGTATGTGAAGATGGAAAACTGATTTCCTTTCGTAGGATAAATAAGAAACATCAATAGATATGCTCTAATATTGTGTCAATAGAGATAAGCAAAATAAAATCGTGATATACCAAATGGCAGTGAAATTACAGATAATTATCAGTCGATTCCGTGATTATTCCAGAAATGCCATAATCAGAGGTTATACTTGAATGCTT